TTCCCCATGCTGGCTGGGGAATTCTGGGAGTTGACGTCCGCTCATCTTAAAGCGGCCAAGTTTGGACAACACTGAGCTAGGGACTTGCATGCGGTGGGTCCCAGGAGACATGCCTTCTCTGCTGTGGTGCCTCCCTTATGGAATATCCTTCCTTCCGAGATTAGATTAGCGCCATCCCTTTTGCTATTCTGAAAGGCCCTCAAGACCTGGTGAACGGATCGGGTCTGGGACTCCCAGTGAACCGGAGACCTGCTTAGATGGCTCCGTTACTGAGAGGGCCATTTTTATTCTCCTTTCCTCTATGGTTTGCATTTTTGGTTTTTTATTAATATGGTTTTTTATATTTTTTCTGTTGGTTTTCTGTCTTTTTATCTGATTGTTGCATGCCACCCAGAGTCGCTTTGGTGAGATGGGTGGCTATATAAATTTGCTAAATAAATAAATAATATACATATATACATCTATCTATCTATCTATCTTTCAACTCAAGATGGTGAACACACCTAATACTCCTGCCTCCTCCTATTTTCCCCACCACAACAACCCTGTGAGGTGGGTTGGGCTGAGAGAGAGGGACCAGCCCAAAATCACCCAGACAGCTTTGATGCCAAAGGGAGGCCTAGAACTCGCCATCTCCTGGTTTCCAGGTCAGCACCTTCACCACTACACCAAACTGGCTCTCTATATGTAGGTGTTGCAACTCTCCAAAGCACCAGCTGCATGTTTGCTGGAGCTTCCTGAATCCCCCATCTGATTTGGAGGATGGAAAGTGGACCCCCAGCACTCCTGCCAGCATTGAGAAGGGTGACTTGGGTTGGGGAAGACTGTCTTAATCTTCCTCACTAAGGGGAAGGGTGGAAAATCAAGGGCAAGCTATGCTACAGTCTTCTTCAAATTAAGGCCTCCAGATGCGTTCTGTATAATCTTCTAGTGACCAATGGCCATGCTGTTGGAGGAGCATAGCAGTTACAACTCAGTACATCACAAGTGCACCCCATTTGGAGAAGCATTTAGTAGATTTAGAGCAGTTTAAGGTCATCCTTATTTCAAGTCTGTTGTAGCAGCTTAGTTAGAAGCAAGTATGGCTTAGAACAATTTGTAGACCAAACTCTAAAGTAGTTATAACAGCTGTCTTCCCCCTACCCTGGCATTTAGCAGGCTCTTCTTTAGCATTTCCAGTCACAGCTGTTATGTAACTAAAACATTTCCACCTTCCAGATCATTTTCACATGCAGTCTGAAAGCTTGATCAATCCCTTAATGCAAGCAATTTCCCATCAACACTACAAGGTCCGGGTCGCTGTCATTCATGCCACAGGAGCTGTGATACAATTTGGCAATGTGAAATCTCTGGATGATGTGCTTTCTCATCTAGCCCAGCGGTGTTTTGATGACATTCCACAGGTAAGATTTGGGCCATTAATTTTGTAACGAGCCTTAAATTCTTGAATGGCTTTTCTTTGATTACAGAGAGAAGTGTGCTTGGAATCAGTAGTTGGCCACAATGGCATGTCGGTCCGCAAAGATTTGAGCAATCTAGTTCTTCGTTAGAGATAGTGCATGTGATGTTTAGAGCTCTTTCGTTTTCTTTTGGTAAGCCAGCCAAGAAGCATTTGCATTTCCTGAGTAAAGAATCCATAGATTGTAGAGCTGGCAAATATAGTGGTGCACAGCTTCAGATTTCAGATAAGGGCTTCAAAGAGCAAACAAGCCTGCCAGCAACTTTTTAAAGCAGTCATATCAGATGCTACTCCTTGGACACATGTCCCATTCATGTTCCTGCACACTCTAAAACACCTTTTCTGAATTATTTGACCCTCTGCACAGCCCTAACTGATCTGACAATTCTACTCTCAGTACACCCTCTCCTTGTTTAGTGACCACAGTCCATCCCTTAAATCGGAAGCAAAATGGTTGCTGAGCAAACATGTGACACAGAGAGAGAGAGACATGCAGCAAAGATCACTGGTTCCTGCCATCTCATTTAGATAAAGTTCTCTGGTACAGTGTCATGTGCCTGACCTGGGTTTTTTTTCCCTTTTTTGCCTCCTCACAGGGCAGAGAGATTGCTTAAACAAGCTATCTCTTCCTGAGCTGCTTTTCGCACTTGTCTAAAAAGCTATCCACAAGTTAACAAGGTCAGCTGTGACATTAATTAGTTGATTAGAACCCTCCCCCAGCTGCTTGAAACTGACCAGATCTTAATCAGCTTCATACTGAAGGCTTTTGTTGTCAAGTGCACAAAATTTGGTAGTAAATGCCTGCTTTGGTCGGAAAATGATTTTTTAATTATTACTGTCATTAAATGAGGTAGCCACTAAATGAGGAGTGGCTGTACATGTTTTTGTAAAGTCAGTGTCTTTTGCTACAAGATCATTAGTTTGATTTGGCTGAAATTGCAAGTTGAATACATGATACAGGTTTCTCCCCCCTTGTCTTTTTGTTCAGGTCAGAGAGGCTGTTATTAGTGTTGTTGGGGAATGGCTGTTGCACCTGCGGGATCGCTATTCGTATTTTCATAAGTTAATCCCTCTCTTACTCAGTGGCCTGACTGATGAAATGCATGAGAATAAGTAAGTCAAATTCAGACTGCATAGTTTGCACTAGCAGGGATGTCCACGGGGATGGTCAGGGATGTCCAAGTGTTGAGTGCAACTGGGCAGTTGAAGTCCCACCCCTTTTCTACACGTATCACATTGCAAGCATGTAAAAAGGGGTGAGACTTTGATTGCTCTGTTGCATCTGCCATTTTGATATCATTGACCACCTCTGCAAACACACCCGTACACCAGCGTTTTTTATGAAGGTCTTGGACAGCAACTCCCAGAATTCTTAGCATGACCAGACTGGCTGATATGTATATGAAATTAAACTCATATGCAGACGTTAGAGCTCTTACATTGAGCAAAGAGCTGGGCACACCTGGCATTAAATGTCATTAAATGCCTAGTCTAACAAACATTGACAAAGAGGAAACATTTCCACATGGAAACTTCTATACCATCAGAAAACCTGTGTGGTTGTGAAGAAGCATTCTTGTATAACCAAAGGCTTCCGATTTGCAGACATGTAGAGGGGAGGGAGGGCAGGTGTTGCAGACCATTGCTGGGGAAATATATATTGGAGAATTACATGACCCCATTCCACATTCAAGTGAACTGGTCAACTCAGCTGAATGGATGAACTCTTGTTTTCTTCTGATAAATGTGGTATTTGAATTGACAGCAGCCAATATGAAAATCCATGTCTGCTGATTAATCCATTTGGGTTTATTCAGATATTCAAACTATTACTTGATATGCTTCACATGTCATAATGTTTAGGAATCGAGCTTTAGTTAGACATTACCTCCAAGGAGTGGGTTTTTTTTTTAAAAAAATGTTGCAGATCCAATTTCATAAGCAACCTCTTTTTAAATATGTGTATTTTGCATAGAATTGACAATATTTGTGATTATTTTGCTTTATGTTTAGGGAGCTGGCTTTAACTTACTGGAAGAAAGTTGGGTTGCAGTGGGAAAAAGAAAATGAAGAAGATATTAAGGATAAACTTGATTTTTATGCTGTGCCTTCTTATTATCCTCCAGAATGTGAGTATAGTGTACAGTGCTCACAGTGCAAATTGATTTTTTTTTTTTTTTTGCAAGCTATTTCTCCAAGGTTTTGATGTGTGACTTTTTAGGATAAGGTATGTAACTGGAGAAAGACAAAGTCCTCTAAGGGAGGATGGAGGCATTAGGATTCCATTTCACATAATTTCTCATGCAGCCAGAGGATGCACAGAATTGGATGTGAGAGTGTGTTTGTGTTCACTTATTGTCTAGTTTATGGCTTTGAAGTTGCATGGGGAAGTTCAGAAGTGAAGCTCAAAGTCAGATGCTTTACCCATATTAAGAATACCCATTCATCTTCCATTTTACTTGTTTTAGTGCCAGTGCAAAAAAAAAAAAAAAAATTCACTGGAGTGCACAGAAAGTCAAACTTAACTTGCCTATTGATGTCATTTGAGCTAATTTTTCTGACCTTCAGTTCCAGTTTGATTTTCCAACATCTGCCTATAAACAACATATTTTAATATCTGCTGCTTGTTTAATGGTTTGGGAAGAGTGAACTCCTTTACCTCTAAAAGGCACACCTGTCAGTTTCCTTCCCCGTCCCCTGCTTCTCCACTAAGGATTCTCTTTCACCCCAGTCCTTCTAGCTTCAAGCTAATGAACCTGACACTTCTGCCTTTTTGTTCTTTGATCTCTGTTTGACAGAGATTGCAGGTCAGGGGAGAAGGAAAGAAAGAACTCAGAGCCATCCTAACAAAAGACTGACTTTCTATGGAAAAGGGGGAGGGAAAAATCATTGCCTTAGGCTGTGGGTGCAGACATGTTAAGGAAAGGTGGAGAGAGAGAAGCTTTTGACAGCAGGGAGATATGCAATGAAATAGCTGCATTTGTGCATTAGAAATGAAGGGAACTGTTGAAAAGGGCCAGTCAAAATCATTTGAAAAAAACAGCGCCTCTGGTCAAATAAGACGCCATTCTCCGTCTTCACCTTCTCAGCAAGATTTCTGTCTTTGACCTCTTTGTTGTTGGCTGTCAATTTCTGTAATCCGAATGCTTTCTTCCATGACAAAAAGAAATCATAGCTCAGAGTGCCTTTGAAGAGTCTTTCCTTTAAGTAGGTGCTTCACAAACACTCCTGCGTTTTTGTATCCTGTTTTACCTTTTGCTTCATTAAAAAAAAAAAAAAGTATAGCCACACAAGCAGAGAGCCATGGGCAAGACGGTCAGATGCTCCAAGGCTTTTTTTCTTAGATCATCTTCTTTCTTCAGGCAACATCATTTTACCAAAAACACTACTAGTATTAAAACTTCATTTATTTTCACTTCCAAAATGTGCATCTTTCATGTAATGAAACATGTGTATCTATAAGAGAGAGAGAGAGAAAGAGAATCTCCATAGTGGTGTAGAGTAGTAGGAACAAATGAAAATGTTTGATGAAATATCAGTGAAACAGAACAATAAAAACAATTAAAAAGAAAGCAAAAACTTCAGATATAGTAATTGATGAAACTCCTTGTGTAACAGTTTTCAACTGATTAAATTAGTATATTTCATCCTTGGGCCTGTAAAAACTGATTTTTTGTTAACTGGTTTTAAACTGGTATCTACATTTTAGGGTGAACTGTGGGGGCAGGAATTCATTGGCATGTAATATCCCCAATCTTTTGTACTGGTTACCCAGTTACCTCCCTCCTGTTCAGATGTAAAATCAAGAACATTAGAAGAGCTTGACATATTTTTACATGCCATCATCTCACCCTGAATTCTCTCATCTTTTCTTTTTCACTTAGTAACTCGTCCAGAACTGGGATGTCGAGAGCTGGTAACCAGAAACATCTTCAAAATACTTCCAGGCCTCTGCCATGATATAACTGACTGGGTCAAAGGAACCAGAATAAAGGCTTCTCAGCTCCTGTTTATATTGTTACAGCATGCAGAGGACCACATCACACAGCACATGGAACTCCTCCTGCGGACATTGTACCGTGTGTGTTCCGATGAGGAAAGTAGCGTGGTTAGCAATGTAAGTTTGCCCCTTTCAAATCTGCTGTGCTAGGGAAAGGATGTTCTGCTACCCTAAAGCTGATAGAGATTTGACTTAGCAAGTATATATAACAAACAAATGGTGACATTTGGCATGCCCTATGACTTGTTTAAATAACTAAATAGTTCTTCGGTGAAAGAGAATGCAGTAAACCATATTTAGAGTAGTTTAAAGGTTACATTTAAATAAATGCAAAGGATTTTAAGACATGACAATCCAATGACATGCACTTCCTTATGTTATTTAGATTTTAAGTGGAAAACTAGTAGTACTGAAATATTGTATGCCTAAATTTTCCATGCCCAAATAAAATGCATAAATATGTTCACTGGAGAGACAAACATCCCTGAGGAAGAGAAATTGTTTTTTATTTGCCTGGTTGTTAGATCTATATCCCACCCCATCCCTTTCCTTCAGGAACTGGGGCGGGGGGCATGCAAAACCCACGCTTCTCCCATTTTTCATACAGTTACCTGGGGGGAGAGGCTGGGCTGAAAGAGAGTTGCTGGCCAAAGTCACCTGCCAAGTTTCCATGCCGCTGGGCAGGCTGAAGCTAGATTTCCCCAGTACCAGCCCAACATAATATTTAACACTGATTATGGTGCCCATCATGATGTGATTATTAATTTTATCATATATTATGCACAGAAGCAGGAACAAAAAGGTGTGGAACCAACTTTTTTCTTGAGTTTTTTCCCTTTCAGAGAATTTTCCATCCCGCATTATCAGTATGACTGATAGTAAAACCTCCTGGATCCAAATTCCACATGCCCCCTTTTCCCCACCTGCTTTTAGAATGCATGGGGGCTGATCCACAGTGGGGTTAATTTTTTTAATCATCCTTGCTGGGTCAAAGCATATGAGAAACTTCATACGGGCACTGTTAAGCAAAGTGTATTTCTGTTTGATTATTGTACCGATCCGTGATGAGATTGTACAAATTGTGCTTCACCTGTGGTGCTGGCCAAGGTAGAGCATTAAGAGCCTCTTAAAAATCATAAGCAGGAGATTAAAGTGTAAATGCCTTTGGGGGATAAATTCCATTTGCAAGTTATGTGTAGTTCACAACCTTTCTAGTTAATTTCACCATATTATCTCTTTCTCCTTCTCTGCCTATAATCCTCCCACAGTATTAAGGCATGTGTATTCCTGGCGATAGCTCTGATGAAGATTCAGAACCAGGAAGTTTACATGCTCCCAGCCTGCTGGTTTCCTTGCCTATGTAGAAGAAACATGGGTTCCTTTTCTTATTTGCCACAAAATACATATTCGTATTTTAAAATGAAACCTCAATTTTAATAACGGTATATTTTTGTTTCACAATATTTATTGGTAGTAAGAGGGGGATTGCTCTA